CGTGTTATAGTTTTTATACTATCACAATGACACAAGTATCTACAAATGTATGCTAATATTGGGGTTAATATTGATATCACATATACTTGCAACAGTGTTCAAATCTCAAAGTATACACTCCAAACAGCATGGTATTATTTTACCAAATTTGAAAAAGCATATTGTTAATCACATAGTATGGTTTTACCTACGTTAAAATTCTGAAAAGTAAAAAATTCAGTATCACAGACAGCGATAATTCATTTAGTTTACGTCATAATTTGCTTTATATGGTCGATTGACGCAACACTTGGAAGCCTTTTCATTTGATAATATGCAGAAATTGGATGCCTATGACATTGCTAAGTACAGGAAAAACACATGGTTAATCTATAAATATTGTCACAGTCGATTACCCTTATAAGGATGAAAAGATGATGTAATCACTGGCCCCAATGATAATGCTGTTTTATCTCGAAAACAATCAGCATCTGACTCTAGAGATATATATCTTTCGGTATTTGTCACACAATTCTAAGCGTGAAGTAACGTGAGAAGCCTTTCTTTCAGACCTGGATATGCAATAGTTCTGTTTTGTTGAAGAACCACAAGTTTTGCAAATCCAATGTGTATATAAATTAGTTTTCCATTGATTGTCTTTAATATCTAATGTTAGCTTACACCTCTGCATACTTTCCCATTGTAAGTTAGTTTAGATAATGTATTCCATGGACTACTTTTTATATGTAGTATTTACATTGTTCTCCAATGATTACTGTTGTTATTTCACAATTAATTTCACTGATCACGATTTTGTATTCTCCCACTAACAATTTGCTAGTGTCTTGAATTACGCAAGGATGAACAAGTGAAAACAAAACTGTCATAAAATAATTGAAAATATAACAACAACATAAGATAGGTAGAAATAGATATATATTATTATATCAATAATGTCGACCTTTACTTGGTTAAATGGAGTAATAGGATTTTTGTCACAGCGCTTCAACGAACGCGATCTACCGTTTTAATGCTCTGTGATAACAATGTTAATGAATATTGACAATTTCACAAAGTGAATAATTACGTGTGGTAGTTATAACAATTGTAGTGTAGCTAGTCAGAACTTTTTTGACAATTCTTATTCTTCAATGGATTTTATTCTTGAGTTTATATCACTCACCCAAATTTAATTAGATATGCAATTTGATACCTTTTAGAAAGATTGCCATATAATTACTCAATATATTCCCAAATGTCCAAAACGCGTAGATAACGTTATAACCAACTGCTCATTTATGTTATCATGCTTCCAAAACAATGTAATAATTGTTGTCAAGGACAAACCGATATATCTATCTACAGTTGATATGATACATTTCTATCTTGTTATGAATTGTTAACCTGTAAACATATGAACGTATTTCAAACAAGGGTTAATTGCCTCCATTTAGCCAAATATAAGACGCCTTCAAAAATTCGCTGTGCCCAATCGTGTTGTTTAAACACATGCATATAAATACATTAACTCTTCAAAAATGCATCTTCATTGAAAGTAAAATTCTGACGCCAACTACTTCACTGCAAAGTGTTCCGATACAGCACCGTGTCTAGATCTTCATTAACAAATCCTTTAATATAATTGTTTAAGACATCACACAAATACGTTCATGTTTTTTTTTACTTATTTGCGTCCTGATCCATCTTCGAACCCGTCAATGTAACCGAACTTGTTTCATTAAAATCTGCAGATCCTGTGGATGTTACTTCTGAAACATAAAAACGAATTTATCTAAAAAATAAATACACGATCTTAATATGTTACATAAATATAAAACTATGTAAGATTTGCATTCTGACTTATCGCCTTGATGAAGTTTGGAAATATTTTGAGCGATCCGAAGTTGTCTAATGCTTGTCGGGGATGGACCAATATTTATCGTCCTCTTCTCTTCGAACTTTGTTCCTATCTCCTGAAAAGTACAAGGATAATAGAACCAGGTGTTCTGGAAGAGTACACGTCTGCAGCGTCATCGATAACACCCGTCATGTAAACCATGGTCAATCTAAGTAAGTAATGTCATAGGTTGGAGATGTAGGGATGTTGCTATCAAGCAATGGAAAGGAAATTGAAATCATTACGCTTATCATACAGCATGGTCGAAAGTTGTCCACGTTGGTTTCAGTGTAGGAAAAGATCGAGATAAGGTTTGATGTAGAAGAGTCTGTCGTGTCTTTAAATTGTATCAGTAAATTATGAATATCCTATTCTGCAGTGTCGTCAATAACGATAGTACAGTTCAGTATTGTATTTGATGGAAAGTATCTATTGCGTTAGGAACAATAATAATTGTCAAAAATACAATTACAAGGTCAATAGTGGTACTGAAACAGATTAATTCGATCGGTGGTAAAAAGCTAATAAACTGAGCATTCTATTGTCAAAAGTGTGTGTTCAGGAAGTACAGTCGGGTACATATACCTATCGCTCATACATGGTAAATGAATAAAACAGAAGGATGATTTTTGTATAATACACTAGTGATGATATCATGTGATAGGCCTTACCTTGACTAATAACAATTCAGGAAAGAATGCAAGTCACTATATGTAACGTAAAACAAATGATAGCACCATTTGATGGTATACCGACCGGTTTATAGAGGATGGAAATGGGATGGAACAGACAAATAAGAAACTTTTTTCAAACACAAATTTGATAAAACTGAGCCAAAATAAAAATAAAGAAAAGATTTAAACGCATATATCTAAAATAGTACAAGGTAAGTCAGTTTCTGGTGTTTCAGAAGGGTAAGGCATCTTCTGCTCCATTGACAACACCAGCAAATAACGATTCCAAGGATAAAGAAAATATTGAAATGATTGCGTCAATGTTCGCAGCTAAACGCTTGATTGCAGGACCATTCTAATGTTGACCGGAAAGTTGTTAGAGAGCTGTTTTTGACTGTTTTTTTTCTTTTTATAAGAGGCAGAAGAGAATTCACAGATTTTGATATATTTGTCATAACACGAAAATGAAAAACATAATAAAAGTATAAATGAGCGTTACTGAACGAGTGAGTAGCATGGTTAAAAAAGACATATAAATAAGAATATCTCTTGTCATTTATGAATACATCATGTATTGTGTTCAATTTTTACCTGTTTTCAGGTTGTAGCCGATGAGATAGTTATCATTGTCGTGATGTCTGGAGCTTTTTCTGTTACAGCAGCACAGTAAAACGACAGCGATAATCACCACGCCTATACACAGGCAGGCAATTGTAATAGCACGGACACGTAGGTTTTCAACTGTTTCCTTCATCTCTCAATCCTGGTGTAATAATTTTCAATCCGACCGTCGACACTGCTTTTATTTAATACTTAATTGTTGCTTGGTTACGTCAATCGTTACTAGATATGTAAACTGTGAATTCACAGTTCGAATGTGATATTCAGCTTGCTGTTATAACGTACGTACTGAAGTGGTGTGTCCTTTAACAGGTTCTACCTGGCTAAACTGAAAAAAACACCGTAAAGCCAATGTTTTAGATGGTCAAATTTACAACTTTAAAAAAAATTACAGATTACAGATTAGTGTACGCGGTTAGGATATGAGATATCTCTTTTCGCGGATATAGCTCATAATTAAAAAAAATAAATACACGATAGCTTATTGATCGGTGGAACACTACAATAGTTGTATACCAATTGTCAAGTATCCTTCAGATACCATGTAACAAATAATTAGTATTGTCATGTATCCCCTAGATACCATGTAACAAATAATCTATATTGTCATGTATCCTCTAGATACCATGTAACAAATAATCTATATTGTCATGTATCCTCTAGATACCATGTAACAAATAATCTATATTGTCATGTATCCTCTAGATACCATGTAACAAATAATTAGTATTGTCAAGTATCCTCTAGATACCATGTAACAAATAATTAGTATTGTCAAGTATCCTCTAGATACCATGTAACAAATAATTAGTATTGTCATGTATCCCCTAGATACCATGTAACAAATAATCTATATTGTCATGTATCCTCTAGATACCATGTAACAAATAATCTGTATTGTCATGTATCCTCTAGATACCATGTAACAAATAATTAGTATTGTCATGTATCCTCTAGATACCATGTAACAAATAATTAGTATTGTCATGTATCCCCTAGATACCATGTAACAAATAATCTATAATAGATACCATGTAACAAATAATCTATTTTGTCATGTACCTCTAGATACCATGTAACAAATAATCTCAAGTATCCTCTAGATACCATGTAACATAATCTAATGTCAAGTATCCTCTAGATACCATGTAACAAATAATTAGTATTGTCATGTATCCCCTAGATACCATATAACAAATAATCTATATTGTCAAGTATCCTCTAGATACCATGTAACAAATAATTAGTATTGTCATGTATCTATTAGATACCATTTAATCTGCTTGTATTGAAAAAATCAAATTGTGAAACCTATTCATCGCCATCATCAATGTCCTTGGAAAGGGACGTTATAAATTTGTGACAAGGTTAATTAAGTTACATAAATGATGTCGCTACGAATTGTGAATGGTAATATATCGCGCAACAGCATCCTTTCCCTAGTTCTTGCGAGATAGAGCTACTCATAGCATTGCCTAGTACCACCATATCATAGTCCAAGAACACGTTCATCTCTCAAGACGACAGGAACATCATACACACGACCTGGATGATGTTGAATCACAAAAAGCATATTTCATAGAAATACCTGAAAGAAACAAATTTCAAATTAATATAAAAGAGACAAAGTACAAAGAAATACAAGGAAGAGACAAAGTACAAAGAAATACAAGGAAGAGACAAAGTACAAAGAAATACAAGGAAGAGACGAATTACAGAGAAATACAAGGAAAAGACGAATCACATAGAAAACAATAATTCAGGACGCATTCAAGAAAGAAATTTAATGCATGTTATTTGATACAAAGAAACAGATGTTTTTGCTTTGATTATACACAAGATAAAGTGTCCTTCTTTCTATCACTGGTAATCCCGAAGAAGACTTCATCTTCTTCGACGTTTACCTATTGATGCAATAGACACAGCAACGAAGATTGTTGTCATGATTAGACCTTATTTTATCACGGTAACCATGTGTTAATAATATCGATTGAAATGGTAGTGAATAGTATTATATATTAAGAATATGAAACAGGATCAAAAATAAATCGGTAGATATTTCATGCTTAAGACAATGTTATGATTCTCCATAATCATAGCAATATATTAGAATCGTAAAATGTAATATTCCAAACAAGATTCAATGAAAGCATGCGTTCCTTATTATAATTATTCTTGCAGACAAGGTAATGTGCTAGACTGGTATTTATATATATGTACATAACAGGGAATGTGAAAAAATATTCTACTAATGAAGAAATTGATTAATTGACAACAGTCTTCATTAACATGCTTCGTCTTATGGCCTATATTGAAATTAACATATCTTAATGCATTATTAAGTGATGGGCGTCAGTGTTTATAATTCAGAGCTTGGCACCTGTGGCATACACGTTTGAATAAACAATTAATTTTAATACAATCAGTGAAATACAATTCAATATACATATGTTATAGTCTGTATGCACTGATTCGTTATAAAAACACAGTACATAAAATGAAACATGAGTATTAGCGAAACTCATGAATGCTCCCCCAAAACGACTTTATTGGGCACAAAATTTTACCAAAAGGCCCATAACTCTGTAAGCAAAGGGTTGTTGGCCCTGAATTTGGCATGCTTCACGTTCTCTTGATATGACCAATGTATGCATCAAGCTTCCTGATCCTAGTTTTAATGCAAGCAAAGCTATGCTCATGACACAAGATTGTAACAAAGGGCAATAACTCTGTTGGGTCATGGGACCAAACTTTGCTCTTCTGCACCTTGTTTTTGTATGACTAATGTATATTTCACGATTCAATATCATAGTTTAAATGCTGGCAAAGTAATGGTCCAGACACAAAATTTCAACAAAGGACAATAACTTACAAAATTAAGGGGTTGCGGGCCATAACATTGAATCACTGCTCATTGCTTAAGTACGATCAAAGTACTCACCAAAATTCAAGTAATTTCAAGTTATGCTATAGACGCAAAATTTTAACCAAGGCCAATTACTTTTTAGTTAATAGGCTGCGAATCCTGAATTAAACAACCTAATATGATCAATGTATATACCAAATTTCATTATCCTTGCTTAACTGTGGGCAAAGTTATGCTCTGCAAAGACGGACAGACAAGGCGGCGACTACATGCCCAGGAGCATAAAACATCAGAAAAATAACAACATGTTTCAACAATGGTTGTCAACAGTTTCCGCTCTTTTTGAACCATAGAAATGAACATGCGTAGTAACACCATGCTTTAACTTTAAACGTTCTGGACAGGTGACATTGTGGCTAGACCATATTAATTTATCTGGTGTCGTCTTAACACTTATTTTATGGTTCTTTTGAAGCTTGACCTCAGTAGCTCATCGTAGTATCAAAAGTAGAAATGCTCTTTGGATTTGTTTTGTCCGAGTACTTAAATGAAGTTGCTTCTGACGTCGACGACGCCGGAAGTGTAAATGGTCTCTCAAAAATGAATTCGGCGTCTACTTTACCAAGTCCTCCATTTTCCATACCGGAGTCTTTGATATCGTATTTGAGATTAGTGATTCTGTAAAGTTTAGGTACGAAAACCACCATTAGAATTACAGTTGCGCACGCAATCATCCCGATACATATGGTAGGTTCCACGTAGTCACGTGGTTCGACGTAGATGACGACAAGCCAAGCTATCCATACAAAGATGGTGATCCAGCTCGCTATAAGGATCAGTCGAGCCTCACCCAAATTCTTCTTTTCATTTCTCACGGTTAAAGAATAAACAGCACACAGTATTATTATAAACATTACATATGAGAGGTATTTAACAAAATCAAACTTGTCGAATATACATGCATATTGCATAACTGTATCGCCCCTAGTAATAACGAAATTGTTCTCGTACACTAGCCACTGCACTCCTAAGGCTATTTGTATTCCCGTTATAAAAATTATGGCAAGGAACTGATTAATACTGGAGAGTTCTCCTCCAAGACCGATAAGCTTGTATGCTCTGAGTGCCATTAATTTCGCGAGAATCGTCGCAAACAAGAACGCATATGCCAGACCTGGTATAAATCTCCTACATGCACACACTCTGTCACTCGGAGTAAAAACGAACGGAACTACTGCCAAATAGAGAAATATCACAGAGAGCAACATCAGCATACCAAGGCCGATATACCGTCTATACAAGAACCCTATACACACTTTGTATATGACATAAAACATAAACATCAGTACGACAAACGCGCCTCCCAGTGAAACAATAAGAACCATTACAGCCCAAAGCATGTTGTCGAATTCCGCCGAAGTGTCGTAAAATAACAGGTCTGAAAACGAGTCAAGTTTGTCTTCCTCGTCCGTGATGTTTTCCGAGGCAAAGTTAACACATACACATTTCTGGTAACAGCGTGACTCGCGGACCGATGTGTATGCCATCCCGTTACTGTCGTAAGCCTTAACGCTGGTAGCATCGAGGCTCAACGCTCCGACACGCCACATACCAATCTGCAATAGTGGAGTTTTAAATTTAAAATCACATATATCACAAATTGACTTTGGCTAGAGAATGAGACACACGTAAGAGTCCTTAGTTTTTAATTGCGAACATTACATGTTGGCTTTGAATAAAGAATGACAAAATAAGAAGTGATTTTAATGTCATAAAAATCAACATATTCGAAAAAAACAAAAAACAAAAAATGAATAGCTAAAGAGCATTTACACCATATTAATAGAGACTTGTTTCAAATTATATAATATGTAATATAATGTAAACTTATCTGTACACAAACGTTTCTTGATACCATGAAATTGTTATGAGGCTGAAGTTAACACGGTGTTAACACAATACTATCAAAAGATCACAGGGTTCCCATAAAACACGATAAATGTAATGTAATTGCAAATCGAAACATTGATGTGGTTGTACTATATGTACCAATGTTAGAAAGTGATAATGACTAAGCACTACAAAATGATGTAATTGATATCAGTACCTTTTTGAATCCACTTTGCAAGAAGCTACTGATGAGGTAGGTGCCAGAGGAGGTGGCGGCAAAAGGAACCTGGATAGAGACGTTCCCTTGGTAAATGAAGGAGACGTTCTCAGCAGTGTCCATCAGACTACCTGCTTCATTCTGCATTGCAGAACACAAGCCATCACTCGTCGGACACAGTTTCATATATCGGTGATTCAACATATGCATCAAGACGTCTACCCCCAATACTATCTTAGAGGCTTCTAGTAATATGTTCGACGAAGACTTGCAATTGATGTTTCCGGCGCTTCTACAGAGTTGTCTGCCTTTGATAAATTCCGTGAACCAAGGATTTCCAAGTGTACTGTTGACAGTATGAATGGGATCAACAAAGTAGTTGTAAAAGTCTTCATTTATCTTCCATGCTTTATCTAAAACAATGGTACCAAGAGGAATCGAAATATCCTTGACATTATCCCAGTCCTGAGCAATGTCTCCGATGATGAAGTTCTTAGAGACACGTCTGGATGCTAACTCCGCCAACAAAAACCTAGCATCTATTTCAGTAGCTAGAATAATTACGGTGTTTGCTGCAGTTTTACCAATCAAATTTATCACATCCATAGTTGATGAAATATCACCTGCTTCAATGGAATGATTAAACGAAACACAGATGTTGTAATTCTTGGAGTGTGTCATGAATGTTTTTAAAGCTGCCTTGTACTTTTCTGATCTAGAATTGACGAACGACACGTAAGTCCAATCCATTTTAAGAAGAAGTTCTATGATAGCATAGACCGTTTCCGAAGGATTTAACATGATGACCTGTTTTGATAACGGATCGTTCAATACCGATTGCTCACTTCCAACAGATAATCCCAGTTTTCCAACTCTATCAACAAGTGCTCTTGTCGAGACCGTCATATTTGGATCACCGAATAGGAGGTAACTAGAAACTTGTGCAGGGCTTGGGGACAAAGCAGGATTCTTAGCGCTCGAGAACGTCGTTGAACACGTTTCAAAATTCATCAAAGTTTTCATGGTATCGTCTGCATCTGAACACGAGTCTATGATCAGTGACCCGATGGTAATGTTTGGAAACAGATAAGAATACCGTTCCTTAGCAGTACCTACAGCAAACAAAAAAGCGTCTACGAGTTCCTCAGTTTCCAAGGCAATTGTCAGTTCCCCACAAGTGAAAGGAGTAGTGCCTCTGTTGTGTATTGGAAAAACGGACGCGAAAACTAAGTCACCTGGAATATAGACGTGGTCACGTGATGCCATACTAGGAGGTGAAGGGCAGATGTTACACTCTGGACACCAACTACTGCAGTGATGCGGTACAACAAGTGGAATACCAGACTGATCGTATGTCATCACCGAGTTGTTGTCGATCGTCAGAACACTGTTCACAAATTGTCCAATCTAAAAACGAATTGAAAACATAAGCATTACAAAATCATAGCACTTGGTTCAGTGATCTGTTTTCGTTTGTTGGAATTTTCGTCCCGTGAACAGTCACTGCCATTTTGAGGAGTTTCTCTGTAGTAGCTGGTGACAAACTTATTGAATAACATACGGGAGGTCATCCTGATCAATTAGGGTAAGTATCCAAGACAACAACCACGTCAGACGGGTACGTTTCTCAGCTTCCTGAGAAACTCAAACTGTCAAGGATAGTGAGTGTTGAACCACACACCTTAGATCTTTATATAGGGTAACTTAGGCTAACGTTCTAATGTGCTGTCGCTTGCCCCGTGTAATGATCTTAATCTGTAATATCTATATATATATATATCATATACAATGTAATTCAATCAAGTATCCAAATAGATTTGATCTGACTGAAGAATATAAAATTATTTTTCACAGAAGAGGTTAATTATGGTGGTAAGTTATGTTGCTATCAAACAATTTTTCTTTTAATGGCATTCTGACTGTTGCCTGTTACAACTTCAGTTATATTCCAATTGATTTTCTTTACTTGCATATCTCGCAATGTGTGTGTTATCATAGAGCTAAATTCGGCTATCAGTGAAGTGATTGAGGCATGCTAACGACCGCAATGCTACGGGATAGTGTGAATATTCCACAAACCGTTTTACCATATCAACTTTACTGATGGTAGTTATAGAACTAAATGCCAATTCTGAGAAAGATATCATATGCGGACAGACCGGCGGGAAAAGGGCTGACAACAAACATAGTTCAATGCTTTAACACAGAAGTATGCAACCATTCAGTTAAAGCTGTTGGAATAGCTCAGTATGTACTTATCAAATGTACATTCTATTGAAACTGCATTGTTTTCAAAATTTGTGAAATTCATTCATCTTATTGAATGTTGGATTCAGTGACCTCCCAACCTAGTTTTAAGATTTCTTTCGCCCATTTTTTATATTCCTCAGTCATGCCCTTATATCACTGAACAGTCTTTAAAGGACATAACAGTTCCATTATGCAGTTTAATTCGTTATTTTGAAATTTTGTACCCGATTTGAAATTTGTATTGAAAAGTGATTTTCATTTAGTGTCTTCTGTACAATTCTCGACAAAATATCAACCGACTCACCCCACAAATACTTCATACCCGACAGTTAATACACACCTTGATTCTCGTTGTATCTAAAGAGTCTTGCAACCGAACATTCAGGACATCGTGTGGTAACTTCAGCACGCCGTCATTATTGAACCGTAACACATCCCCTCCGTCCATCACTTCCACAGACAAAATTTGGGACTTGATCCGCGACTGGATATCAGGATTATCTCTCCACTCCTGACATAATCCTGAATGAAGAGGACAAATTTCCTTGTATAAGCTGTCAATAGCCTTGACCAGTAGGTCTACTGTGTGGATGACGCGATTGACAAGTGTAGAATTTTGTCCATCTAATGTCGCATTGTTTTTGCACTGTTCCGGGTAGAGCATGTCGGCTGACCCACTGTGGTAGTGGCAGTGGTGGCGACTTTCGTGGTAAATTCCGAGAAATGGGTTCCGGAAATGCTTCATCGCTTCGATCTTTCTCAAATGAGAATGAAAATGCAAATTCGTTGTAAATTTCGGTTTCACGATAACCATTCCAGGAAGATCTGAATTCGACTCTTCGGGCAAACTCCAAGATGGCAATAAAATATTCAAACTGTACGCATCCCTAGCTACTTCGACTATTTTTGCAGAATCTAAAGGTAAGGTAAGAAGAAGAACGGCATCTGTATTCCTTGACAAGCTAAATACACCAGCTGTCGCATTTATCATATCAGGTTTCGTCGGATCGAAAACAATCATTTGCGATACACATACACCTTTTTGCCTAAATGTCTGGAGTACATTTTGCACCGAAACATCTTTGTCCACCTGTTCGGATATGACCACACTGATGTATGTCCAGTTCATTTGTGTAAGTAAGGAGAGAATCTCTGGCAGATCATCACTAAACATAAAATCTTGCATTCCGACACCCTGACTTGAAAAGCGTACTACAGGCTTCTCCGAAATTAATTCAGATCTCGCATTGAATGGGTCGTTGTTGAATTCCATAAATGACAACATATCAGACAGATCTACATGATGTTTATCTCGAAATACCGCGGGACATCCTAGTTTCTGTTCTATGATATTGTCTATATTTCCACTTATGCCACAGGAGTCCATCACGAACGCGCCCAACTTTACATTCGGAAGAAGATTTGATAGAAGATTCCGGGATTTCACGGTATCAACAGCATACAAAAATGTTTCTGTCAGTTGGATTGCCTCCCAGGAAAGTTTGCCACAACTGTCGCCATTTGTAGAGGGTGTGTGCAGTGAAATAAAGCCACCTAGATATAGTTCACCCTCTAGGAAAGCCACAGTCTTCGTATTGCGCTCGGAATGTGCGCATGCATTGCAGGAAATACATTCGCTGTTTTCACAATTAGATCTGTTTACTTTGTTTTGAAAATCCTGCCATGCTGTGGAAGAAGACCAAACGTAATCATCTTTGTTGATTCGTCCGATCTGCAAAGCATCAAAAAGCGACATAAGATAGATAACAGATTGTTATCGACATGTAAATAAAAAACTCTAATACCGTTGCCATCAAACAAAAACGTAAGCAAAATACCAAATCCATAACCATTAACTATAAAATATCTAAACAGCAAAGTGGTTGTGTGTGAATAATTGATAGTGTGATAATTAAGTAACACTGTTCTACTGTAACTAAAACGTACCTCTGTGACGTTGTCACTCTGTGCAGACATGACGATGACGTCAGTCGGTTCGTCCACGAGCCAGCCCTTCGTAAGTTCATTAAGGTTAAATGGAAACCCGCTGTTCGGTTGGTTGATACTGAGAGCAACATACGGCACGAAATTATTGCATTTTACGAAGTTGAAATCAGTGCAGTTGAATGCCTCCGCACGCAAAATAAGTCGTTCCAGGTTAAAGAATGCTGTAAATACTGCCATCATGTCACGACCATTCATCCGCTGAGAAAGATAGTCCATTACTACGTCGGAACAGGTTGTCTGGCCCGTGGAAATATTTCGCGAACAAAATGGGAGCGACTGCAGATATTTCCTTGAAACTGGATCAGTCGTGGTTTCTATGTTATTCAACATGTTCGCCAGATAAATCAGCATATAGCCCTTTGGTGGCAAGCTCTCTCTCAAGAACACCACATTATTCAAATTGGCGGCGGATTCTGTAAAAATGTTAGTATCGCCAACAATGATAAATACATAATTTTCCTTAAGCTTCATATCCGATAAAATCTCACTTAGGTTATACTGTCCTGTCGTGAAAACCACCACGACATTCGACGTCAAGGAATCTATAGAGGAGATATTATAGAAAACATTGGACTCTGTCACACAAAACTGTTGATCAAGCGCCATTCTCTGGAATAGATTCTGCTCTGCACGCGCACTTGGTGTGTTTACCGCCAAAGTCGAAACTCGTGTCCAGCCCGCAGTACGCAGCATCACCGTCACGGCCTGTTGGTAAATATTAACAAAAAATAAATCAGTTTGTTACTTAATGACTGGTATTTTATGTCTCCTGTCATGACCATTGGTATCTGAGGTTAAAAATTGCTAATATTGTCTTTATAATGTAACTACCGTGTTTTAAATGTGATCATACATATTATATGCACGCAAGTATATCATTAACACGTGCCGTTAAAGGAGTTTTTTAAAACATAGTTCACATATTTACTATATTTTTCATAAAACGTTAACAATGTGCTTCTGAGGCTGAATAAAGACTTTGTCTTTTGTCCATTGTAAATCCTTACCTGTATTTTCCAAGGTGAGAGAGTAGCAATGTCCAAGACTGCGCCATGCCCCCTCGATATGTGTTCATCCACTGATATCTTTGCATGGAGTATTCCGAATGGTTCCACCAGGTTGGAGATAGTGTCCCGAATGTCTTTGGATGTGTAACTAATTATGCCTGGAGTTACAAATGCTTAAAAGTCAGCAATTTCTAAATTCTAACAATTCAGTGTATTTACATTCACATGTACTTCTCAATAACGTTTGATAATGTTAGTCAAAACGATAGTTTCTATAGAAATATATTAACAAAATCGGTTTGGTAACTTGTGACATTGAAACCAATCTGCTTTGATTCAGTAGATAAACGGGTGGTCCAAAGACAAAGTAACAGTTACAAGTTGAAGCCAATGTATCAAAACACGACATGGATCTTTTGAAGGTCTTGACTGTTCTAGCATTACCCTACATTTCTTTATCTAGAAATAAAACAAGATTCACACCAAAGAGGTCCGTTTCCGATTTATCATTATGCTCTCGTTAAGTGAAATTGAAATTGTGAGCCCGCCTATTCAAATTAATTATGTCCGGATTTTTATGTCATATCTGGTTCTGTACTGTCAGGTTGATGTCGTTATCACAGACCTGGTTCTGTACTGTCAGGCTGGTGTCGTTACCACAGACCTGGTTACCACAGACCTGGTTCTGTACTGTCAGGTTGATGTCGTTACCACAGACCTGGTTCTGTAGTTATTTGGAATATGTAACTGCCAGGCTAGTGTTACCACAGACCTGGTTCTGTAGTTATTTGGAATATGTAACTGCCAGGCTAGTGTTACCACAGACCTGGTTCTGTAGTTATTTGGAATATGTAACTGCCAGGCTAGTGTTACCACAGACCTGGTTCTGTAGTTATTTGGAATATGTAACTGCCAGGCTGGTGTTACCACAGACCTGGTTCTGTAGTTATTTGGAATATGTAACTTCCAGGCTAGTGTTAACACAGACCTGGTTCTGTTTTTATTTAGAATATGCAGCTGCCAGGCTAGTGTTACCACAGACCTGGTTCTGTAGTTATTTAGAATATGTAACTGCCAGGCTAGTGTTACCACAGACCTGGTTCTGTAGTTATTTGGAATATGTAACTGCCAGGCTAGTGTTACCACAGACCTGGTTCTGTAGTTATTTGGAATATGTAACTGCCAGGCTAGTGTTACCACAGACCTGGTTCTGTAGTTATTTGGAATATGTAACTGCCAGGCTAGTGTTACCACAGACCTGGTTCTGTAGTTATTTGGAATATGTAACTGCCAGGCTAGTGTTACCACAGACCTGGTTCTGTGGTTATTTGGAATATGTAACTGCCAGGCTGGTGTTACCGCAGACCTGGTTCTGTAGTTATTTGGAATATGTAACTGCCAGGCTAGTGTTACCACAGACCTGGTTCTGTAGTTATTTGGAATATGTAACTGCCAGGCTAGTGTTACCACAGACCTGGTTCTGTGGTTATTTGGAATATGTAACTGCCAGGCTAGTGTTACCACAGACCTGGTTCTGTAGTTATTTGGAATATGTAACTGCCAGGCTAGTGTTACCACAGACCTGGTTCTCTAGGTATTTGGAATAAGTAACTGCCAGGCTAGTGTTACCACAGACCTGGTTCTGTAGTTATTTGGAATATATAACTGCCAGGCTAGTGTTACCACAGACCTGGTTCTCTAGGTATTTGGAATATGTAACTGCCAGGCTAGTGTTACCATAGACCTGGTTCAGTAGTTATTTGGAATATGTAACTGCCAGGCTAGTGTTACCACAGACCTGGTTCTGTAGTTATTTGGAATATGTAACTGCCAGGCTAGTGTTACCACAGACCTGGTTCTGTAGTTATTTGGAATATGTAACTGCCAGGCTAGTGTTACCACAGACCTGGTTCTCTAGGTATTTGGAATATGTAACTGCCAGGCTAGTGTTACCACAGACCTGGTTCTGTAGTTATTTGGAATATGTAACTGCCAGGCTAGTGTTACCACAGACCTGGTTCTGTAGTTATTTAGAATATGGAACTGCCAGGCTAGTGTTACCACAGACCTGGTTCTCTAGGTATTTGGAATATGTAACTGCCAGGCTAGTGTTACCACAGACCTGGTTCTGTAGTTATTTGGAATAAGTAACTGCCAGGCAAGTGTTACCCCAGACCTGGTTCTGTAGTTATTTGGAATATGTAACTGCTAGACTGGTGTTACCACAGACCTGGTTCAGTAGTTATTTGGAATACCTACCCGCTAAGCTGGTATCGTTACCGCAGACGTCTGTGTTGAGGTACCGACTGATGGCCTGGATAGCTCTGGACTGCGAACCACACACGTCATATACCAAAAGACCTGAAAATGACCGTATAAGCACCGATTTCAATGTTATACCTCTATCTAACAATATAGTATGTTATACCTCTTTCTAGCAATATAGTCCTAAACACCCCAAATTACATTCAAAGCCCCGTAATTGTCATTAATATTAGTATTTAAACGTCAGAATTGTAACGTAGGACACCCCAAAATATCATTTTTAAGATGATTTTCGGTTCATCAAACAGACATATTCGATACTGCAAATAAAGTAGTTTGAACTCTACATTGAATTTGATAAATAAACATGGTTGGCAGCAGTTCACCGCTCAAAATTTCGTAATGTCTTTAACCGAATATTAATCTGAATACGATAAAACATAAATTTGCGATTGGGGTTTCCTCCCTTACATTGCTGTACGTTCAATCACTGTGTACCGGTACACATTAGGTGGGACAGGGGATTTTTTTTTTTCACTTACCAACTTTTTTTTCAGGTTTACTTTGAAGGACTCCATCAATCCAACGAAGTGACCACAGCATCTCCAGTGCCCGGGGATTGAGTTCTGTACAATTTCCGTCCGAATCTACTGCACGATGCATGTCATACAAAACAAGCAAATACGGGTCCCCCTTCAACACCAACACGGGCTTGAGAGCTGTCTTAACGTTACCATGGCAATTGCACAACAGAAATCCTAAACATAGCAGCCATATCCAAAATCCCAGGGAAGACATCCTGCAGTCGACAAAACCAATACAGCAATTAACTAAAAAGTGATTGCGATTTGGAATGTAGAGAGCGTATGTAAAAACAAAGTGAGTATCTTATACCGGAAAATGTCAAGACCCGCTATTGTTGAATCACCGACACATAGGCGAATCCTAATTAATCGAAACGACTTCCATATTTACAACACATCCAGCGTCAAGTTTGCAGGACCTGACTGTCCAATACCTGGATTTGTGCCCACAATATTTTTGGTCGATTGATCGGACGAAGCTGTGCATGCACTAAAATCCAATGATGATAACGAAATTAAAATATTGGAATATTTCCGGTTATCCACAGACAATAATTATCGGTCTATCTGGACGATGTGAGTGATTCGGATTACAAGAAAATGAGAATGAAACTATATTTAGAATTCCAATGGTTTCCAGATCGACAGGAGCACGGATAAAGGAATTTCCAAACACTTTTCCTCTCGCATGAAATCTAACAGCCGAGGACTTCAAACTCACGGCAATCTCTGTTTGGTCGTCATGTTTTCAGTTTTTAAAATCTATTGTGCTTGCAACAAGAATAATTTATCCACTATCGAAATTTAACAAAATTACAAATATCTAGACAATATCGTAAAAGATTGCCTCGCCACCATTCCGGCTGGTAAATACCTCCACAGAGATGGTCAGTAGAATGACGGCCCTGTCGTCCGTGTAGTAGGTAACAAAAAACAAGGACCGGCCGTAAAACCATCAATCTTCATTGAGGGCTACATTTCGGTCATTACAGATCGGCATGTCGATCATGATAGGACATTATTGGCATCAAGTCATCCAGCCCGTCATTCGTCCCCGAACTGGAGTGCTCGTTAACTTGGAGCTCGATGAGGAAATAAATGACACACGTGCCTTCAGGTGGGCTTGTTTGACTCATCATATCACAGAATTGCACCGATAAATTTTGAATAATATTCCTTATCAAAAGTCCAAGGCATTCAACTGTAAAGTGTTCTATGCTACATCAAGGCGGTTCAGATTCGGTATTGAATCTCTACTTGTGATAATACCTGTATCATTGCGAAAAAAAAATGACTCATCTAATCGGGAAACCAAAAATATCCGGCGATTTTTTCATACCGTGATTACATATTATTTACAAAGAAGATGTTGACTTGTGCTTTCGCACGGTATCTACCTGTTGTTTCTGCGTGTTCACGACATGCATACACGTAACACACGTGCAATGGTACGGCGAGCGTTTAGCCGTGGGGGAAACCCCGGTCTGTTATACAAACAGTAAGCGCTTTATCTCATTTGTCTGAGTACATTAACAGTAATGCAGTCTGACAAAAATGTTACTAACACCTACACACAGTACCACGAAACAGAACAACGAAACGCCTTGACTTTGTGTTGAGATACGTGATCCACGTGTAAGCCTATGTATCATGAGAAAATGCTTTCCAGAACGTCTGAGAGGCAAAATTTTTTCACCATGACTTCAATAAATATTCTGGTTCTGTTGGATATGGAGGGATTGTTCCTATATTTATTATCAACTATATTCTTAATTTTAGGAAAAACGTTTCCTTGAAAATCTGGAAACGGTTTCATATGTTGGTGTACTTAAAATTGGATATTTTTGAAACGAGGTTGTATCAGTATTGAAACGTTAGTGTCCTATGGAAAATGATTTATCTATTCAAAATTCTACTTTAAAAAAAGATATAACATTCATTTATATTAGATGTAGATGTGTTTACAGCAGCAGAGTTGTCTTGTCTCTTATTATGACAAATCAATGAGGCATTGGAGCTATACAGGTTCTCAACAAATTCAAAACCAACCGTAACTACACATTTAGACGAAATCGATCCCTGTTACATACGGCTATTTCTTATGTTCTATAAATAAATATAGGCTATGCATTATGATAATGTGCTGAATTCAAGATAACTGTCTCTGTGTCATTTATATATTTACAATGAAGACAATCGAAAACGCAAACATCCATAGCGAATTCACACACACCAGAACAATTTTACGTTGTTTAAAATTTACCAAAAATCTATAAAAAGACCATCTGTTTGTGGCTTCAAAGTATCACGATAACGCCTTGATTTTATTGCCACGTTATAGTTGAGCGCTCAAAGCGAATACAGAAATATTACATGTACCCTTATACATACATACGTCTTAAATCTGGAAACGTATCTATTTCCCTTCCTTAATAGGTACAAATTGTATATTGTTAAGTGTCTAATTTCGTTTCACGCTTCACTTTATACTTTAACATTAAGAAAGAAAACTTGTATGGTCGTAATTCTTGGTTTCACCACCCCTGTATATGTCAGTGAGATCATTTTTACATATGTACATGTATCTCAATCAACAAAAATACAAGTATGAACTTAGCAGAAGTGACTTCACCTAATAATTAGCCATTTTCGATACATTCCATAACCATTAGGTTTATCTCGTCCCCCGGGGCGATGACGTAAATCGATGTGAGGACAAGCGTGTAACGTGCGAAATGATCCAAGCTTTGCTAACACACTAATTTATATAGACGTTAGATCCCCTAGAGAGGTAGTATATCGTAACGTCAGTTATTTTAATGAATTTACCTATCATATCGTGGTGCGATGCTCATCTCGTCATCATCTCGTCATCTCCACACAGCTTTATATAAACAATTTCAACATGTGCTTTGAATTATGGTTTTAACTAAGAAAGCCCTTATCGAAAGGATGAAGTATACTTCAAAATCTATCGCTTGATTTGAGCTACGGTTGCGTGTTACGGAGTTATCTGCTCTTGTGAGTGAGCAGGTGAGAGTGACGTCATTAATTCGATAAATAAAAATTACTTATTTTAAATGTAAAGTGCACCGCGTCACACCTATATGTAAAACACATTTGAGTACTTGTGAACCGTAACAAGTGCACAGAAGACTTGTAAGGTCGGCGCACTTTTGTCCACTTTGCCAGTTAAAAGTGTACTGCGTTACACTTTAGTTGTATACGTTTAACAATCTACGTAATTACACGTGTATCATACATCTTTAACTATAAAAGTGTGTAGATGATACTGCGTGTATAGGTGTTTGTGATTAGTATCAGGCCGGTATGGGTTTCTGTATGTCTTGACGTCGTATCTTGACTCTACAGAAAACTGGGGTTTGTATACGTCAATTGTTGTTGAACAAGATTATGGGGCTGTGGAAACGGAGTGTGTTAATAATAAATAAATTTGGGGGTGGAGGGAGGAGGGGCAGACTTGACTTCGCGGGAAAATTGTGCTCAAAATTTATGTATGTATGGGTATTAATAGAACGAACTGTAAATAAGAAAAAGAAACTCAAAATAAAATGCATGGTCATGTACATTTTCTGATTTACCGTGTAAATTTGGAATATTCGTCCTTGTAAATCGTCGATAGTCTTCCGTTTCTCTCTGTCCTTTCGTCCCTAACCCATTTAAGCAAGACATATGTTCCACATTAATAGTATATTTTTTTATATTCATAGATCACCAAAATCTATACCTGTGTCACCCTAGCTAAGGCTCGTAATGAATTTAACCGCATACGACCCAATACGTTAATATAACTCATATCACTGTGTAGTTAAATGATAGATGACAACCGGAGAACACCAGGCATTTTGCTTCACGGGTAATCATTTTTTGCTACATGTAAATATGTTCCTGTTAATTTCCTGCTGTTGTTTGTAACACAATATCTCGAACGAGGCTTTTATTACACTAAAAGAAGAGGGTCCATGTCCGGAGACAGTGTTGGTCATTCTGCTAAAACAAATCCGTCGTTATATTTGACGCCATTCCACAGCTCTGGTACGAAAATAAGACAAACGGCAATACATTGCGATTAATATTGCCTTTTACACATCGACACTGCTAAAAAAAACACACCATGCATCAATTAACCTTCAATGTCACCCAATTTAAAAACGGGACTTTCTCAGCCGCTGTATCTCACAGAAGATACTGACAATATCTTGATTCCGTCACACCTAATTTTGTAAGAAGGTAATACTTAGCCCTTATATCAGAACTTATCTTGTATATGGAAAATTCCTTCTGGTTTCGGAACAGCTTTTATTTTACCGTTATAAAATACAAGTGTGATATCAGATTTGATTCTACACTTTCTCGAGAAGACCTAAACAACGGAAAGCGGGTTTTCGATAAAAGGATGTACTACATGACAAGTAGGAAGTTATGGTCAAACAGAGAATCAATTTTATTGTTGTTCCTGGTCAACAAACCAGGGCGGATCACAACAATCAATGTTTATCACAGATCAATAACCATTTCATCCTCGTACAAATGCTCTGTAAAGTGCGTCTTGCGCTGTGTTCATCAACACTAAAGACAAAACATATCGGTTTCCGACCTAAACAAGGGGATCGATAAATTCTTCGAACGGTGTGTATGATTGACCTAGGGCGAATATAACGACTTGTTTACGATGGACCCGTCAGTCCAGGTTTCGCACACCTGTATGTACAAATATATTTGTATAAGCATGGCGTTTATGCCTGACGGTCCTTTGTGTCTAACCCATCCGTACTAAACATGAGTCCATAAGTGTGTTGACAAGTGCCTATTAGTGCATGTTTCACACGTCGCTAAACATCCAAGGTTTTACAACAATATAGACAGAGCCAACGAGTTTGACAACAAATAAACTTATGCAAACCGGTTTTGACTTTACATAAATTAACTAAACAGCATATCACACTAAAAGTATTGCATCGTTAAACATTAAGGAAAACAAAAAATAAAAAAAAAATTAAGAAAGGAATCAGGTGAATATAGGTTAACAACATAACAACAGATCTTCTCTCCATAACAGTGAAAATACCGTGCCTCAAAGACAAAAACGAAAACCCTCTCCTTAGTAAAAAAACAGTCCACTATCTACATGACAGTGGCAGTCCACTACCTACATGACAGTGAGAGTCCACTACCTACATGATAAGTGATAGTCCACTATCTACATGACAGTGACAGTCCACTAC